AACAAGTTGATACTTTATTTTAACCGAAATTGTGTTTCCCACAAAATTTGTTATCAAGTGCTTTAAAAACAGCATAATTTTAGGAAGAAGCATCGTTAAGCACTCATTAATCTTAGCAAATGTAGCGAAAATATGCTTCCAGAGCGTATGGAAAAGTGATTAAAGGCTTTAAAAGTTAAAACTGGTTTCATGAAGGAAATGTTTCAAAGTCATTCTTATCAGACAGAGAGAAGTATTAAGATATCACCACTGAAAATAATATGATTTTTGAATATATTCTGAAACTGGATATTGGATTTAAAGCAAAACTCAAAGATTAAATTAAATTTTCTTTATGTAAAGCATGTTTCTCACAGTAACTACTTTTTTAAGCATAGATCTATTTTTACGAAATATAATACTTAGAAACGTTTTCAAATCAAATCATCAGAATAAAATCAATTTAAAATGAATGTACAAATAATAATTATTGTATTTTTCTTCTCCGGTTTGTTCAATCAAAGAAACAAATTATTTTCATATTTAATTGGTTTTAAAAATGAACGGTGTTTTAGAATGGTTAAATTTTCCGACATTGTATCATTTTTAAAATTATAATTTTCTAATATTAATAAAGAAAAATAAATATTAAAATTTGAAAAAAACTATTAAATGCTGATCTTATTCAAAACAGTTAATCTAAATAAAACTTGAAAATAAACAATTATAATGACAGTTAGGACTTACATTTAAATGATTTTATACATATTTTTTGAAAGAATAATATCTCTGTATACAAGGTTTGTCTGAAAGACAATTTTGATGCTAAGGAAATACGTGTCGTTTCGTTATTTGGAACAGTTAGAATCAGTAAGAGAGATCAGTAACTCTATGCATGCGTGTTTGTTCAACCTTCCAGAAAAAGAGATCAGGGTCATTTTCGCCAACTAGTTTTCGTTTCTCGTACAGATCTGGATGGCTCACTGAAATAAAATAAAGGCCATCAAGTTTTGTGAAAAGACTGACAAAACTGCTGTGGAATGTTTCCCCGTATAAAAGACAATCCTCTAGATGTAATTGTTTATTGAAATGTATAGTCAACCAGCCATACAATACATTTTCAACACTCCATAAAGAAATCAACAATCAATCACGCTTTGGCGAGCTAACTATGACTTTTAAAGCCAAGAATGGGACATGTGTAACTGAAAACTTAAATGAGATCGCCCATTGGGTGTGCGTTTAATGTTACCAAAATTAAATATCTCTTAGAAATCGATCACAAGATTATGATTAGCAGATCGGAAACGTGATTAACGGGATAATGACAGCATAAAGCGATGGTTGTTTATTAGAATGAAATGTCTACTGGTGGTAAAATGCATCTGAAAAAGACGATGAAAATAAATAACAATTAATCATGCGTTTGAAAGCTATTTACGACTTTTACAGTCAAAAATGGGATATATGTAACTGAAAACTTGAATCGAAATTGCCATTTGTGTTTATGCTTAACGGCACCAAAATTAAACATTTCTAAAAAAGACTAATCACGAGATTGTCATAACAATCAAACATATCGTAACAGATCGGAAACTTGATTGATGGAAAGATTTGAAGCTCTGATTTCTTCGGGATAAGCTTTTCGGTAATTTCAAATCTGTTTTGGGTTTCGAAATTATCTTGCAGTTGCCACGTGGTTTCGCAAGCTTTTTTTCTTGTTCATGCAATAAATAGCTCCGATAAAATGATATCATTTCTTGATAATCGAGCACCAGAGCTTTAATAGGCATTCCAGAAAAAAGCTTACGACAGTGGACCCTTGAAATTTTGACGACATGCATTTGTATTTAGAATAACAAATAAAATTGGCTTGCTATTGTAACTAACTAACTCAATGGACTTTTTGGACAAACTTCAAATATTTACAAAATATTTTTTCTTACTACGTCATGTCTTTTTCTAAATAATCATTTTGATTTAGATATTTATATCACATTAAATTCGCAATTCCAAAATTACAAGTTGTAACTTAATGTGTTTTCTGTCAATGCACCGCACTGTGTGGTAATGACATTTCTGTTAAATAAAAACATAATACGGGTAATAAAATATGAAATATACGATATTTGGTAACTTTTCAGATCATGTGGTTAAGATTTACCTGAAATACTGATTATTAAAGATTATTGTTTTTATAACCTCACACTCAATTTAAAAAGTATATTTGACAAAATAAAAAGTTGTTATACCATGCCCTATGGTATCATTACAAAATTATCAATTTTTACGTCGCTTAATACATTTTTATAGCATATTATAAAATCATATTTTACTTCTAATTTTACCAAAATCTTTACGAAATAGCTTCGGTGAAAATTACATAGCTTTTTGGTGTTCTCTTAGATATAGTCGGTAAATTATATACATGGTCTTATATGTATAGTCTGGCTGTTTGAACAATCCTTTTTTTCAGTGAATGAAATTATTTTGTACTTCCCAGTGAATGCTAGCTTTCAAAATTATTTTAAAATTTTTTGTTAGATTTATATCACATACAAATAATAAGAAAAATTTAATAAAATATTTCATAAAACAGTCTCTTTCCTATGTCTTTCCTCAGTTTCAATTTAGAAGCAGGCACAATTCATGTAAAAATAAATCTTGTTCATTAATTTTGGAATTATTAAAGAATTTAATACTATTTATTATAAATTTTTAAATTTAATGCATATTAAAAATAGAAAATTTTAAATTAAATTTTTTGATATTTTGTGACAATAGATATTTGAATTACAAATTAGCAAGATTATTAAAGTACACTCCCAAATAAAATTTTAAACCTAATCAATTTTAAAGATCATGTATTAAGATAATTGCGCAGCAACTTTTGTATTTGGAAAAAAATTGTCTAGACATAACTGTAAAAATTTATCGAAGCAATATTATATTTTTCTTCGATAAAGATTATGCGGTACGAAAATGCATTATTAATGATTTTATATATAAAGTATTAGCCGTATTAAATGTGCCTTTTATAAGGTAGAAAACTAAGAAAAAAAGTCCTTTCAAAAAAGGGCTTTATTTTTCGAAAGGCTTTCTTAAGTTTTTGCATTTCCATAAATTAAGCAACAAAAATATTTCTTATTAAAATTTATACTTAAATTAAAAAAAACATATTTTATATATCTGCTATTATCACATAAATGTTTCAATAAGTAAACGACGATCCATATAAAATTTTATTTTGCTTCAATGCTTACTTAGACATTTAATTTTAGGCACCATTTGAAACTCTAATTTAAATTTTGCATCCCAGTATATTAATTGTTTCCTATCGCAAATTCTTTTAATTTTATTTACAAGATTATGTAAGGACAAATTTATTCAAGTAATTAAGATTAATTATTTAATTGATATGCAGGATAACAGAAGGCATTGAAACAATACGTATTTAGGGGTTTTAAGTGAAAAGACGACTGCCACAGTTTGCACTTTGTAAATTCTCTAGAAATATGCAGGGCATATTACATCAAGTAGGCAGCGCAAATTTAAAGAAATATTTAAATTAAGTTAATAAAATAATGACTTATTATCTGTATTTGAAGAAAGAAAGCGGTTCAGGAGAAGTCATTTTAATTTTAAAACATTTTTAAAACTGCTGCTTTTATAAATTTTTCGCAAATTATTTTCGGTACATGCATTTCCCCCTTGTTTTAAAATTTATATACTGCTCAGATAAAAAAAAATATGCATACACTTCATTATAAATCATCTGTTAACTTAATATTTTTTTTATTTTTTTTTTTAATTTACTGAATAATTTGGAATGACTCAATGGATAATGTTCTTTTCAGGCACCAGCTATTACATAGATTCGACCTTTGTTCGAATTAAAGTAGTAGTACAAGAAAACAAGATGTGTATGTGATGCTCCTTTATTCAAACATTGTTTATGTTCTGTTTCGTTTTAGCCATCTTTGAAATATTCTATAGTATCTGCAATTCATGGATACAGTTCAGTTAATGGTAAGAGGTCACTTCACATAAGGCAACTGGGATTAGTTTTCGTCAAAACCTTTCAAGCAAGCACTATTGCCATACATATTTCTGAAGTATAACATTGTCTTGCGTATAGTTACTCACTGAGACAATTCATATAGTACTGTTAATAATTTGTATCTATTTCAGCCATAATTTAAGTTTTCTACAGTATTTACAATTTACCGTTTAGCTAACTGTAAGTGATTTACGCACTGCTTTTTTGCTCTTCAAATCGCACACATGGGATTAGTTTTACTCAAGAAGACTTCAACACAAGTACTTTTGTCTCATATATTCATTACCGTGGGTGCAGTTGCACTCTGAGAAGATTTCAACTGCACAGATACATCGTTTTTGTTTTTATCTACAGCAATCGATAAGTGGGACCATAACCTTGTAATTCTAAGTCGAAGTCAAAAGAAGCGAATTTCTATCTAACAATCAGGGGAAAATTCACCTTCCTGTATATTTTACAGAATCAAACTAATTAGATTTATCATTGTATAAAAAGTAACCAATTACTTGGTTACTATATCGATCTTAAAAAATAATTAAACTATGTAGAAAAACAGTTACGTTTCCACGATAGTCTCATGCATGTTTGACTTTTTTTTCGCATTCTTCTTTACAGTTTTAATCTTATTCTAAACTATGCCAATGTGTATTAATATTAAATTTTATAAAAGTATAGATTTATATGGCAGCTTAAAGAAATACGAAAGAATGGAATAGTGAAAGTAAGGATTAGTGAATGCAAAGAAATTAATAGCCATCTGTCGGTCTAGTGCGTCATAGGGGTTAATGATCTAAAATATGAAGACAAACGACATGGTGGTGGCAATTGTGGTGAATGTTATGCGTCAACCATCTTTGCTTCGCTGATAAGCTGGTATCTATAGACCTGAAGGTAAGTCAACTTCCCACCCCTCTTAGGAATAAAACAAGGATCTTAATAATAATACAGATTATGTACTTACAAAATACTTCTAAATTCCACCCTTCTTCTCTTGAACTTCCAGGTATGACAGGGTTTTGTGCTCTGCATGCAAAATATTTGCCATTATCTTCAACAGATGGTATAAATTTTAGATAACTAATTGTCATATCGCCTGTCTGACTATCTGTCCGACCAGTTTTTAGCTCTTTACTACCTTTCCACCAAGAGATCACAGCAGGCGGACGAGAACCAGTTGTTGTGCATTTAAGTTGTGCTTCCCTTTCAGCATAGACGTGCCGCTTATGAGGTTCAACTTTGACTAGCAAAGGTTTCACTAAAAAGAGAAAAGGGACATTGCTTCACTTTTAAGTTATTAATATGTACATGTATAGTTGGATACAAAATATATCGAACACACGTAATACACATTTACTGGCCAATAAAAATGCTACTAACAAACTTTAAACAAGCATGGAAGCATTACTAGCGGTGACATATTTAAAAATTTTCAAATGAAAATTACTCTTTGCTTGAATGCAGTGTTGTAATGGTGTAAGAATGTTATTGAAGAAAATTTATAATATCCCAAACCTTCAAGAACACAAACATTTGTCTAAAAATAAACCCAATGAACAATTTTTTGGATTTACGTCTGGAGAAAAGAGTCATAAATTTTATAAATTACTTTAAGAAATAAAAATTTGGAATATATGGCTCTATGTGAAAACTAAAGTTGAAGCTACCTTAAAAATCATTGCATTAGTTTCTAGTTAGTAAAATTCTTGAACTCTAATATAGTCAAGAAGTGTCTGCAACCCATTCCTAACTGAGTTTCTCTACTTGCAGTGTCCGGTACGCTGTAAAAAATTCTTGTTGAAACTGTGGTACTTTGGGTGCATCGTCTGTAAAATACATTTTCCTGTAAAATCTATTTTTACCGTAAACATTATACGCTAAATTTCTAAGTAATATCTATCTAGTAATAAAAGGGATTCAGTGATCAAAAATTACGACGTATCAGATTTTTTGTTTCGTAGCGCGTTCCGAAAAAATGGTTTTACGATGGCAAAAAGTGAAAAGCGCTGAGTATCGATACTATTTACCGTAATTTAATCCGGCGTTTTTTACAGAGTGAAAAGCTCAATTTTTTTTCGGTTTTTCAGAAAAACATTTGTGACCAAGGAAGTAGAATATCATGAAATTGAGATTTTAAGGTACTGCGTAGGTAATATTTGATTCTAAACCATTGACTGACATATATTATTACTCTGCAAATTCGTCGAACATTATCAATGTTAACCTTATTCATAAAATTTATTTGTAAAGTATTCATTATTGTAACTGAAAAATTGTATTTATCACCGTAAATAAAAATAACAGAAACTCATTTAAAACTTTGAGTCCATTGGGTTAATATCTAACGAAGACAATTGATGTCGATACTCAAATAGATTTTTGTAACGTAAAAATATATTAAAACAGTAACAAGAAGTAATTTACGATGTAATATCATGTAATACGAAGTAATATTACGTCTTATTTCACTAAACTTACGTAACTATTTCGTTTTCTTTCTAAATGAAATCTGGAATCCTGCTTTAAAAAGAATTGCGCATTAAATAAAAAATTAAATTATATGTTTTTCTTTATCTTGTTATTTTTTTTTATCTTCACTTTATAAACAGATAATTAAATTCGTTATAAAATGTCACTGTTTAAAATTTCAGGCAATAATAATTCAAATACAAAACTTCTGCTTAGAATAACAAACTCTCAGCCACGAGCATGGAACAAATGAATTAAAAGAAAGATACCTCAAAGGTATTAAATTACTCTATAGCAATAAAGCAACAAACATTCAAACAATAACTCAAAATAACTATTGTGACTTCCGTTATGTGATTTTACGCTTGAATTACAAGACTTTCAAATATAAAATTAAACGTAACAATTCGTAAATGATAAGTAAAAACTTAAGAAGATTAAAGAGCTTTCTCAGAAAATAAAAATGATTTCCAAACGACAAATCGGATTAGGGGTACCAAAGAATATATTAAAATCCTTCTTTCTTACGCTTCGTCAACTAGTACATACAAAATAAGGTTTAAAAAATTTTAAAACAAATTTGCGAAGTGTGAAAGTGAATAGAATTTAAAATTTAAATAACAGAGAACATGATATAAAATTTTAGAAAGAAGTGCTCTTATGTTAAATAAAATTACATTAAGTACGCTATAAAACTGTTTCGTATGAAGTAGAATTTTTTTTCTCCAAAAAATGCACTTTAAAATATTTTAAAACTTTTAATACATTTGCAAAAATATAAATAACTAAAGTAAGATAAAATTATTATCTAATAAGAATATTCCATGAGTAAGAAAATTTTATAGTTTGGGATATTTTCTTCAGATTTTATTTATTTATTTATTGAAATTTAAAGTTCCACATTGATTAAGATGTACCAGTATAATATGGTATTAAAACTGTTCTTTTTTCTTTCTTTTTTTTCAAACTAGAAACATTTTAGAATATTTTAGAAATAATTGCAGTGAATACTGATATAATAAAGCTTTGAACCTGTTCATATGATTCTCAATAAAAATTCTGGGCATCGTAATCAAGAAAAAAATTAAATTAGAAAAAAACACATATACATATAATTTAATAGCTACAACGGACTATGATGTGAAACCCCATTTTCTAATCCTTTTAGAAAGCATGATTTAGTGTTTTTAGTAAAATAAATACCGAAATATTATTAATAAGTAAATAATATAAATATTTTAAATTATTCAAAAATAAATAATATAAAAGAGATAATTCCTATTTTATCATTTTATTTTGTTGTTGCTATCGCCTTACTACTTTCCCAAATTTGTAACGTATCCATATGCCTTGATAAACAGTATTTGGTTTTAAGCTTTTATAAAGTTATTATCACCCAATCAAACACATGTATTATTTATATTAATTTTTAAAAAAAATTGTTAATTGCCTGTCGACATTCAAATAAATAGAATTTTAATGTAATGCATATTTTACTATTGGTTTAATTTTATTAAAAAGCAAATACTAAATAAAAATTGTTATTGCAGTAATTTATATTTCATTCCCAATATTCTTCGCAAATTATACGAGAAAAATTTAAATTTCAGGTTAACTGATTGCAGAGTCAATGCAATAAGTTCAACAATAAAATTTGCATTGTTTTTGTCACAGAGTAATTTTCTAGAATCACCATATGTATCCCCGTTTAATATTTTTTGCGTACAAGAAATTGTTGAATGTATGCGCGCAGTAGAATAATATGTATATAGCTAAGAAATAATCAGAAAATTTTAATTACCATCACCTTTTAAAATACTTTACATCTATTTAATTTTATTAACTTTTATAACTCGTTCTACTTTACTGTAAAAATGTGATTTTCTAGGGGTAGATTAACGACTTAATCATGTCACGACACAGTCACATTTTAAAACAAAATATCAAGTATAAAATCTACTTTTTATTTCTCACGAATTAATTTTTCAGTAATGTGTGTAAGTTCATATATATGTTGAAAATAAAAATGATATACTTAAAAATTCACGTTTGTCGGGTCAACGAATTCAGGTTAATTATACGTCTACTGAATTTGTTATATGATATTAGAAAATTTACACCAATTGGTATCTGAGGAAGCATATTTTTCATCTTTAACACAGAAAACATCATAATTGTGATTATATATAGTGTTTAAGTTTCTTTCCAGCAACAAATTTAAAATACGCAAAGTCTCCTAGAAAATTTTTTTATAATTAAGACTGAATAAGAAATTTGCTTTACTATAAATTTGCTATCTACGTTGAAAATGCAGAATCTATAAATAATATTTGTAGTATGGTATACTACATATTAAATAAAATCAATTGTTAATTTTAATTTAATTATCTAATTTCATTATCTAATCATNTTTGCTATCTACGTTGAAAATGCAGAATCTATAAATAATATTACTATGCTAGTAAATAAAATTTAAAGCATACTATTTATGATTAAATATCAAATTTAATAATTAACTGAAAGTTGTTTTAAAACAATACATTTAAATGGGTCTTATTATACCCTCAGAATCAAATATTTTACGCAACCAAAAGCAACTATTTATATACGTTTGATTTAAAATAAATGGAAGATGCAAAATGCGTTGAATACATTAGAACTTGGCCTGTGGTTAAAGAAAATCATTTTATTCAAAGCAAACGACTTGATTTTATGTGGTAAAATAAAAGAGAGGAAAACATTATTTTTTAGATTTAAAGAGAAAGTTAGAAAAATAAAAGTGAAAAGAATTTTCTTCATCAAAATTTTCCATTTTCCGAATTGACAAGTCTTTTTAAGAGATGGACGTGGCTTTAAATTGTTTACGAAAAGAAATGAAAATGAATAAATCAGAAATTCAAGTGGGGGAAAGATCAGTCCAAATTGCCGTATTTAAAATGCGCGATGTATACATACATTTTCTTTTTTTCTAATGTATATGTACTTTAAAACGGTTTTTTTATGAGAAGAAAAAGAAGCATATTAATTGAAAATTTATTTTACATATTTTATACCATTGTGATGATATTTTTTATGACATTTGCAATGAAAATATTAACTTTTTGAAATGAGATGTCAATAAAATGTATTTATTAAAATTTCCTGGTAAAATTTATTGACTTTAAATAAAATTTACTGATTATCGTGCACAAATGATAGGTAATTGAATTATTTAGTTTTGAACAATGTATATAGCAAAGCACTTGAACTATATAATTTTCTGTTTTTATTTATTTTCATAACAATGCTTAGTGATTTTAACAGATATACAAGACCGAAAAGGTTTGTATATAGATGAACCCATAAAAAGCAGTGAAACACAGAACTGCTGTCCAGGAAGATGCTGCATAAAAACGTAATGTAAGGGCGTGCATTTTTTTACAAATTGGTTAAATGGCCAAGAGCACGGGTCAGATTTCGCTTGAAAATAACTGATTTAAATGTCATTTTCAAACAGAAAGGGGGCGGTAACCATCGATAAGGATCCATGAATCGATTCAACTCTTAAAAAATGTGACGATTGGAATTATTAAGTTGGATTGATATTTTTTCATGATCATCTATGGATATCAAAATAATTGAAAAGTACCAGAAAGATCTGTTTTACTTTTCGTTACACTCTCGAAAGATGCGTCACATTTGTGCTTCACTCAACCGCAGAAAAAATATACTCGGAATCATTCCTTTTATTTCATATCTATCTATCATGTGGCTAATCTATATTATATAAAACGCTAATACGTTTTAATT